TTTGCAGATTCTGGTTATTAGCCCTTTGTCAGATGGGTAGATTGCAAAATTTTTTTCCCATTATGTTGGTTGCCAGGTCATTCTAATGATTGTTTCTTTTGCTGTGCAGAAGCTGTGGAGTTTGATTAGGTCCCATTTGTCTATTTTGGCTTTTGTTGCCAAAGCTTTTGGTGTTTTAGTCATGAAGTCCTTGCCTACGCCTATGTCCTGGATAGTTTTGCCTAGATTTTCTTCTTGGGATTTTATGTTGTTAGGTCTCATGTTTAAATCTTTAATCCATCTGGAGTTAATTTCAGTGTCAGGTGTCAGGAAGGGGTCCAGTTTCTGCTTTATGCACAGGACTAGCCAGTTTTCTCAGCACAATTCATTAAACAGGGAATCCTTTCCCCATTGCTTGTTTTATAAGGTTTGTCAAAGACCAGATGGTTGTAGATGTGTGGCATTGCCTCTGAAGCCTCTGTTCTGTTACATTGGTCTGTATCTCTGTTTTGGTACCAGTACCATGCTGTTTTGATTACTGTAGTCTTGTAGTGTAGTTTGAAGTCAGGTAGTGTGATGCCTCCGGCTTTGTTCTTTTTGCTTAGAATTGACTTGGCTATGCGGGCTCTCTTTTGGTTCCACATGAAGTTTAAGGTGGTTTTTTCTAGTTCTGTGAAGAAGGTCATTGGTAGCTTGATGGGGATATCACTGAATCTATAGATTACTTTGGGCAGTATGGCCATTTTCACGATGTTGATTCTTCCTAACCATGAACATGGAATGTTTCTCCATCTGTTTGTATCCTCTCTTATTTCGTTGAGCAATGGCTTGTAGTTCTCCTTGAAGAGGTCCTTTACGTTCCTTGTTAGTTGTATTCCTAGGTACTGTATTCTCTTTGTAGCAATTGTGAATGGCAGTTCGTTCTTGATTTGACTCTCTTGAAGTCTATTACTGGTGTATAGGAATGCTTGTGATTTTTGCACGTTGATTTTGTATCCTGAGACTTTGCTGAAGTTGCCTATCAGTTTCAGGGGATTATGGGCTGAGATGATGGGGTCTCCTAAATATATAATCATGTCATCTGCAAATAGAGACAATTTGACTTCCCCCTTTCCTAATTGAATATGCTTTATTTCTTTTTCTTGCCTGATTGCTCTGGCTAGAACTTCCAATACTATATTGAATAGGGGTGGTGAGAGAGGGCATCCTTGTCTAGTGCCAGATTTTGAAGGGAATGCTTCCAGTTTTTGCCCATTCAGTGTGATATTGGCTGTGGGTTTGTCATAAATAGCTTTTATTATTTTGAGATATGTTCCATCAATACCTAGTTTATTGAGAGTTTTGCCTTCTCTGCATCTATGGAGATAATCATGTGGTTTTCATCTTTGGTTCTGTTCATGTGGTGAATTCTGTTTATATACTTGTGTATGTCGAACCAGCCTTGCATCCCAGGATGAATTTTCTTTTTTGAAACAGAGTCGCACTCCCCCTCCCAGACTCAAGCGATTCTCCTGCTCAGTGTCATGAGTAACTGGGATTACAGGCATCCACCACTAGGGCTGGCTAATTCTTGTATTTTTAGTAGAGATGGGGTTTTACCATGTTAGCCAGGCTGGTCTCAAACTCCTGACCTCAGGTGATCCACCTACCTCGGCCTCCCAAAAGTGCTGGGATTACAGGCGTGTGTGCCACCACTCCCACCCTATAAACCCAGTTTCTTTTTACCAACTTTTATTATGGAACTTGGCACGACTCCCAGGTTCCCATAATGCAAATTGTCCTCCCCAATTATAACTGCCAGTTTGTTTTCATCTAAGAAAAACAAAACAAGACAAACAAAAATGGAAATGCTGGTCATTTCTGCGGACAAAAAGATAAGTATGGCCGGGTGCTGTGATTGATGCCTGCAATTCCAGCACTTTGAGAGGCTGAGGTGGGCAGATCACTTGAAGCCAGGAGTTCGAGACCAGTTCGACCAACAAGGTGAATCGCCCTCTCTACTAAAAATACAAAAATGAGTGAGGCGGGGTGGCATGCGCCTGTAGTCCCATCTACTCAGGAGGCTGAGGCAGGAGAATGGCTTAACCCGGGAGGCAGAGGTTGCAGTGAGCAGAGATCATGCCAATGCACTCCAGCTTTGGCAACAAGATCAGAACTCCATCTCAAACAAACAAAAACAAAAAGTAATGTGACTGCAATTTTCTGGTTATAATCACAGAGTTCATGTGGAAAAGCTAAGCAATATGAAAAAACACAGAGTTAAAGTTTTAAAAAATTACCCCACATTGGATCAGCAAACCTTCTAGGTCTTGCTGTTGCCCAGCTGGTGTTCAGTGGCACCATCACAGATGACTGCAGCCTCAACCTTCTGAGCTCGCTCTGTGCTCCTGCCTCCCAGGGAGCTGGGACTACAGGTACACACCCCTACACCCAGCTAATTTTTTAAAAATTGTTTTTGTAGAGGTGAAGTCTCATTATGTTGCCCAGGCTGGTCTTGAACTCCTGGCCTCAAGTGATCCTCCCACCTCAGCTTCCTGAGTAGCTGGGACTACAGATGAGTTCCACCATGTCCAGCTAATTTTCTGTATTTTATGTAGAGACGGTATCTCACTGTGTTTCCCAGGCTGGTCTTGAACTTCTGGGCTCAAGCAATCCTGCCTCAGCCTCCCAAAGTGCTGGGATGATAGGTGTGAGCCACTGTGCCTGTCCAAAGGTAAGAGACAGACATGCATAGAGGGACAATGGCCATTATAAGTCAAGGGATGCCTGAGCCAGGAGAGAGGCTGGGGCAGATTTTTCCCCAGAGCCTCCAGAGAGAGCCCGGCCTGCAGATACGTGACTTTACACTTCCAGCCTCCCAACTGGGAGACAACAACTTTTTATTTTATTTATTGATTTATTGAGACAGAGTCTCACTCTGTCACCCAGGCTGGAGTGCAGCAGCATGATCTCAGCTCACTGCAGCCTCATTCTCCCTGGCTCAAGCAAACCTCCCACCTCAGCCTCCTGAGTAGCTTGGGAACACAGGCACATGTAACCATGCCTGGGTTTTTTGTTTTGTTTTGTTTTGTTTTTTTCTGAGATGCATTATTGCTCTGTCCCCCAGTCTGGAGTAAAGTGGTGTGATCTCAGCTTACTGCAACCTCCGCCTTCTGGGTTCAAGCCGTTCTCCTGCGTCATTCTCCTGAGCAGCTAGGATTACAGGCGTGCACCACCACATCCAGCTAATTTTTGTATTTTTAGTAGAGACAGGGTTTCTCCATGTTGGCCACACTGGTCTCGAACTCCTGACCTCATGATTTGCCTACCTCAGCCTCCCAAAGTGCTCGGATTACAGGTGTGAGCCGCCATTCCCAGCCTTGTATTTTTTCAGTAGAGACAGGGTTTCTTCCTATTGGCCTGGCTGGTCTCGAACTCCTGACCTCAAGAGATTCTCTCACGCTCCCAAAGTACAGGGATTACAGATATGAGCCAAGGCATCTGGTCTGAGACAACAAATTTGTGTTGTTCTAAGCCACTTAGTTTGTGGCACTTTGTTACAGCATCCCCAGCAAAGTTATACCCAAGGAATAATCCATTTCATTGTTAAAGGACACAGAAGCTCATGCCCTCGGTCATTCATGAATGTGTAATTAGGTTTTGGCCAGAAACAGAGGCTCATGCCTGTAATCCCAGTGCTTTGGAAGGCTGAGATGGGAGGGCCACTTGAAGCCCAGAGTTTGAGGCCAGCCTGGCCAACATGGAGAGACCCCATCTCCAGACACACACACACACACACACACACACACACACACACACACACACACACAAATATTAGTTGGGCATGGTAGCATGTATCTGTAATCCCAGTTACTCAGGAGGCTGAGATCGGAGGACTGCTTGAGTCTGGGAGTAAGAGGCTGCAGTGAGTTGTGATTGTACCACTGCACTGTAGCTTGGACAACACAGGAAGTCCCTATCTATCTTTCCAAAAAAAAAAAAAAAAAAAAAACCAGGGCGGGGTTTGATTTTGTGTCTTTGTTGTTGTTACTGTTGTTTTTTGAGATGCAGTCTCGCCCTCTGCCCAGGCTGGAGTGCAGTGGTTCAATCTCGGCTCACTGCAACCTCCACCTCCTGTGTTGAAGTGACTCTCCCACCTCAGCCTCCCGAGTAGCTGGGATTACAGCTGTGCACCACCACACCTGGCTCATTTTTATGTTTTTAGTAGAGATGGGATTTCACCACGTTGGCCAGGCTGGTCTCAAACTGCTGACCTAAGGAGATCCACCCACCTCGGCCTCGCAAAGTGCTGGGATTACAGATGTGGGTCACTGCACCCGGTTGATTTTATATTTTCGCTGGGTTGGGTCTGGCAGGTGTATGGTTAATAAACCATGTCTAAATATTTCTAGGTACCGGTGGCTCAGGCATGCACTGACAGCAATGTTGTGGGTGGTAATATTGGCTTCGAACATGGATGAGAACAAGATCTGGTCTGTTTTTTTCACCCAGACAGTGTCGCCGAGCTGACCTAGGAGATGACAGGACAGGTGCATGAGGCCATGTGTACATCCTGGGAAAGGGGATGCAACTGCTGGGACCCCAGCCCCCCTGCCACCACCCAGCCCACCCGGCCAGCGGCTCTTCCATGTTCGTTACGGCTTTTGAGAGGTTCACTATCCAAAGGAGAATGAATCAAGGAAAGTACAGGGCTGGGCACAATCCCGTTAAACATGACAAGGAATATGCTTTGGTTCAGGCAAACCCATGGCCAGGCACGGTGGCTCACACCTGTAATCCCAGCACTTTAGGAGGCTGGGGGCAGAGGATCACTTGAGCCCAAGAGCTTGAGGCCAGCCTGGGCAACATAGTGAGACCCCTCCCCAACTCCACCAAAAATGTAAAAGGAAGAAAAAAAGATGTAACTCAGGCATTACCCGCCTCCAGGTGGCCTTCCTGATGGTGCCGTACTCAGGTGGGCTCAGGGGCAGCCTCTGTTCTCTGGGCATCAGAAGCTGTCTCCCCGGGGCGGTGGTCCCGGGTCAGCTCCTGCAGGAGTCCAGGGACAGGATGATGGTGGATGGATCAGAACTGAGGGTCAGAGATGTGGAGAGGCAGACGGCTTTGGGACTCACTTGGTGAGATCAGTGGCATTTGCTGCAGGGTGACTGTCAGGGTGCAGGGGAGAATTCTGGACCGGCCGTGTCTTCATCTCTCTCTTCCCTCCAATCCCAGGAGAGCAAATGAGGCAGAAGGACTCGCGGGCCCGGCTCGCCAGCTCCATCCTCAGGAACTCGAGGACCATCAAGTTCCATGGCTGGGAGGGAGCCTTTCTGGACAGAGTCCTGGGCATCCGAGGCCAGGAGCTGGGCGCCTTGGGGACCTCCGGCCTCCTCTTCTCTGTGCCGCTGGTGTCCTTCCAAGTGTCTGCCTTTCTGGTGATCTCACTCTCGTCTCTATGCCGAGCAGGACTGGGGAAGGAGTGTGGGGGTCAGGAGGTGAGGTAGGCGGAGCCACCCAGATTCTACCACCCTGTCCATCAAAACCCACACATTCTGGATCCTTTTCTCTCGGGGGTCCTGCTGTCTGTGAATGAATTAATCACATCATTCTGGTGAAGGTGGCAGGGGCTGATGAGGTCTGCTGTTCTGAGAGTGGGAGGATGGCTTAATCCCAGGAGCCCCAGCAGCATAGTGAGGCCAGTCTGGGCAACATAGTGAGACCCCCATCTCTACAAAGTCTTAAAAATGAACCAGGTGTGGTGATGCTTGTATCCCAGCTGCTTGGGAGGCTGAGGCAGGAGGATCACTTGAGCCTGGGAGGTAGAGGCTGCAGCAAGGAGAGATCATCCCACTGCACTCCAGCCTGGGTGACAGAGAAAGACCCTGTCTCTAGGAAAAACAAAAAGAAAAGGAAACATGGAGATGATTCCCACCCTGGCCTGAAGGACTGAGGGGAGGGGAGCTATGTGAGGAGCCCTGGGAGGCAGGCAAGGGGGTCACAATCCTGCCGTCCAGACCCTGCTGGGGCGCCCATGGGACCAACCCAAGAAAGCTCATGGATGGGCTCATGGCAGACTTGCAGCCCAGAGGCATGCTTAACCCTTGATACCAATGGGGAAACTGAGGCTCAGAGAGGGGCAACTGAGATGCTTGCCCGTGGTGACAGAGCTAGGTAGAGGCCAAGCTGGGATTCAAACCCGGGTCACCTGGCTCCAGAGTCCAGCCCTAACCAGGACACCATATGGCTCTTGGGCCTCAGGGTGTGGGAATAGCCGTGCATTGGGCCACTGATGTGATCCTGGCTCTCTGACCCTCTCTTGGGGAAGTTGACTTTGTCTCAACCTGGCCTTGGGGGCCCTGGACAAGGCGGCATCTTGCCAGCTTCAAGCCCTCTCTTTCCTTCCTTCTGGCAAAGAGCCGCTGTTCTCAGGCTGGCATCGCCTCCCCTCCCTCCTGGGCTGCTGCCGCAGCTCAGCCTCAGTCTCAGCTAAAGTAACTGTGCCCCAGCCGCCTGGCTCCTAACTGGTTCCAGATGCTTGCCCCAGGTGGAAGGGGGCATGGTAATGCGTGCGCATCCGTCCGCCAGCCTGCAGCAGGCCCACGTGGGCCACCCTCGGAAACCTCTGGCTCCAGCTTTCCCAAACATACCCAGGTTTACATTCCTGGGCCGGCCCACAGCCAGGTCCACGAGCCCTTTGGGAGACGGGGGAGGCCAACTCACCCAGTGCCTGGTGCCTGGCGTTGCCTCACCCAGCCTGGCGCACTTGTAGAGGCTGGAGGTGATGCTGCAGCCGTTTGAGCTGAGCCAGTGTGACCCCCATTTATGCAATCCAGGAAGAACTGAGGGGTCCTGGGAGTGGACAGAAGGGCCCATTAGACTTAGGCCAGGTTTCTCTGTCCCTCTGAGCTGTCGTTGTCTATGTTCAAATCTGGAGCTCCCTGGAGGGCATGCCTAGTGCCTGGCACAGGGCCCAGTGCATAGTAGGTGCTCAGTAAAAACAGGGCATGAATGGGTGAGTGCATGCATGAATGGTCACGTCTTCCAGATGGTCACTTCATTTTCCGGCCAGCCACCGTGTTTTGCTAAGCACCTGCCTAGTCCTGGCCCAGGCTGAATTTCTTTACAGAGCACATGCTACTGTGCTGGGGTTCTCTGCCGAATTTACACTTGATTTTGGAGTTCCCTACACTTGGCTACAACTGCACAATCATTCCGGGAACTTCTTTCTTTCCTTATTATTTATTTGTTTTCTTGAGACAGGGTCTCCCTTTGCCACCCAGGCTGCAGTGCAGTGGCGTGATTTTGGCTCACTGCAATCTTCGCCTCCTGGGTTCAAACGACTCTCCCGACCCAGCCTCCTGAATAGCTGGAATTACAGGCACGCACCACCACACCTGGCTAATTTTTGTTTTGTTTTGTTTTTGTAGAGATGGGGTTTCACCATCCTACCAGCTGGTTGCAAACTCCTGACCTCAAATGATCCGCCACCTTGGCCTCCCAAAGTGTTGGGATTACAGGTGTGAGTCACCGTGCCCAGCCTTGCTTTTCATTTTCAAAATTTCTTTTTGGGACAGGGTCTTGCTCTGTCACCCAGGCTGGAGTGTAGTGACATGATGAGAGTTCACTGCAGCCTCAAGCTCTGGGGTGCAAGTGATCCTCCTGCCTCAGCCTCCAGGTTAGCTGGGACTCCAGGTGGTACCACCACACCTGGTTCCGTTCAGGGAGCTGTTTAGTTTTTTCCCCAAGTTTTGCTTTGAGTCATTTGGACCTATATAAAAGTTACTGTGGGACAGTGACCATGGATCAGTTGTTAATATCTTTCCATATTTCTCATCTATGTTACATAAAATCGTATTATCATACATACATTTTTTCTGTATCATTAAGAATTAATACAGAGACGTTTCTGAAGATGCCACCTTTTTACTCTGAAATACTTCACCTCTTTCCCATAACAAGGATATTTTCTGATTTAACACAATTACAGCATTCAGAAAACTGAACATTGAAGTAATACCTTCATTGAATGTACAGCCCATATAAAATTTCCCAGCTTTCCCAATAACGTTCTTTCAAAAAACTGTTTTGTTTTGTTTTAAATCTGGAATGCAGGCCAAGATCTCACAGTGTGCATAATTGCCATGTATTTTTAATTTTCTTAATGTAGAACAGAGGTCTACGGACTTTTCCTGTAAAGTGAAATGTAGAGATTGCAGGCCTTATGATCGCTGTTACAGCTACTCAGAATTGTCATTGTAACACAAAATCAGATCTAGACGACATGTAAGTGAACAGGTATGGCTGCGTTACAATAAAACTTTATTTACAAAATCAGGTTGTGGGCCACATTTGACCCAAAAGCCAGCTCCTGATCTTTTTGTTTGTTTGTTTTGTTTTTTTTTTTTGTTTTGTTTTTTTGAGACAGAGTTTTGCTCTTGTTACCCAAGCTGGAGTGCAATGGCGCGATATCAGCTCACTGCAACCTCTGCCTCTTGGGTTCAGGCAATTCTCCTGCCTCAGCCTCCTGAGTAGCTGGGATTACAGGCACGCACCACCATGCCCAGTTAATTTTTTGTATTTTTTAGTAGAGATGGGGTTTC